TCGTGTCGGGTGGAATCAGTAACACAAAACATAATGATGATATGCATCATAATATTGACTGGAACCACTTGAATATAATTGAATGGTACAATTTCGTTTTGTACCATTAATTGTATTTCGAAACGATTTCTCTCGAAATGATAGACAGGTGTATGACCCAGTTGGTGACACAAGATGAATAATAAAGGAAAAGGATCTTTTAGAGGACGGAATTAGGGCTAAAAAGAGAACGACTGCCTATTTAAGGTTAATTTTGAGGCTATTAGAGAACGGTCAGAATTATAAAACGAAAAAACTGAAAAAAGAACGGTTCAGATTTCTGTGTTCAAAAGAATAAAAAGAGAACGGGTGTATGTTCGAATAGTGAATAATGATCTATATAGGTCTTGATTACATGCAAAAGAATATTGTACAAAAAATACAAATAAATATGATATTTCAAAAAGGTTTCTTTGGTCGTAAACGCATACGATCTTTTGAAATTACATGATAGTCAAAGGCAATTGCAAGTCCAACTATATGTCTACAAACGTATTCTTTGCAAAAGAATCTGCACGAACAAAAGTTTTGTTGAACCGAAACTATGTGAGCAGATTAATACCACAACTTAAAATGATTGAATGACGAAACTGCATTGCTACCAAAATAATTAATCCACTCTTGGATACTCATTATTGGATGTAACATAGAAACAACCGTTTCAAAAATATTCCATGGAATTGGAGTTTCACATTTTGATAACACCTTGAGACCATTTTAGTGCTAATCAGAGGAACGGTAAAGTGGTATCTTTACTGTTTTTTGTTGTAAAGAAAAAGAAAAACTTTTCTTTTGTTAATAAAAGAAAGAGATAGGAAAGAGAAAGTGCCACCCCTAACGAGGCAACCTATTCAGGTGATAGCCTCCGTTTTTCTTCGTTCATATGCCGTTCGATAGAGTACACCGAGGTAGTAAAAAGTCACGTGCCCTTGTTGTTTGTTTCCTTCCAGAGTTACACCCATTTTTTTTGATTTCTCTAGCGAAAACCCCTGAAAATAGAAAAATGCATAACGTCATCAAATTACACCGCGCGCACGTGAAATTTATACGGTGGCTGACACTGTGACTGGTATCAGTACACTAACAGTTTCGGCCCGTTTGGACAATTCCTTAGCGAAGTATAGGATTTTCTATATTCTCTGAAATGTCACAAAGTAGCGGGTGTAAATATAAAGATCAAAAGTTATGACCGAGAACATCCAAAATCCTATAACTCGAGAAGGACTTGTCCACAAGGTCTGAACCCTTTAGGGCAATGATACCAGTCACAGTGCCAGCCACTGTATAAATTTCAAGTGTGCGCGGTGTAATTTGACAAAGTTATGCATTTTTCTATTTTCAGGGGTTTTCGCTAGGGAAATCAAAAAAATGCCTGTGACTCTGGAATGAAGTAACAAGGGCACGTCTCCTTCTACTACTATGCTTTTTGCTACCGCGCTGTACTCTATCGAACGGCATATGCACAAAGGACAACGGAGGGCATCACCTAAATAGGTTCCCTCGTAAGAAGCATGCGCATGAAAAATTCTACTTCAGAACTGTACAAGTACAATGAAAAAGTTCTCTTTTCAGTCTTCTGCAAATAATTTGAAAATCGTTCTCTTTTTCTGTTGTGTGTCTCATCATTGTTCAATTCTTCTGGATCTATATTCAGTTCTATTTTCAATTCTCCAGTGAGAATGATCAGTTCTGATGATTTTCCATATTCACTTCTGATGTGAAGACGTAGGATGCCAAATTCCAAGAATTATGAATTCCCTCGGAAATAGCTTTTAGTTGACACTCCTAAACAGCTGCTGGGGGTGCCAACAGCCCATAGTTGACACTCCCGGGTGTGCCAATCGACTCACCCTAATAATTAAGTATCAATATATCCGAATGACTAAACTCAGAATTCAGTCAATTCACCACCGTGCCATTTTAGTGCTAATGTTTCTAATTCTTTACTATAACAACATTTTGTGAAAACCTAGCCAGAGTGAGTTTTTCAGACAAGTCTATCAGCATTCTCCTCATTCCGATCAAGAGTTATTCATTTTTATCTCGATTCGGTTACCCACAACATTTATAACTATGAAGAAGTATTAGGGATGGCACTTTCCCGTTCCTTTCCAGAGGAACGGTAAAGAGGTATTACTTTTTACTCTTTACTTTTTCTTAGGAAAGAAAAGATAAGACCTACTATTATCTTCTTGTTTTGTTAAGGTTTGTAAAGAACAAAAGTGTAGGTGTCACTATGATTTATGTTCATTTCTAATATTTCAAGTTGAGAACTTGACTAATGTGTATGATTGTATTCATTCATCTCTTATTTATTTTAGTACATTGTTAGTAAAATGGTTGAAGCAATGCCGACTGTTCCACAATAGATTATTTTGAATTTAATTTATATATTTGTCTAATCAAGCACAATTTGAATTAAATTAATAAACCTTTTTTATTTTCTTTCTTTTTTCGATTAATGACAACATATATCCTTTCGTTGTTATTTTTATTTGAAGTTATTTTGTTTGTCAAAAGAATTATGTTCTGTTAGTTAATCATGTATGATTGGTTCAACAAATATTGTTGCTTTTAGTCGGTAATGGATGAAATAAAAATAATATAGTAACAGCAGCTGCATGTAAACTCATTTGAAATTTTAATCATTCCGACGATTCGAAAATTTAGTTTCATTGTCAAGGAATAAGGAGTAAAACAGTGTACAAATAAAATTATTATGAGGAAAATTACAGGATTCTTGATTATTATATCTATATATCTAGAAAAATGAGCAAGAAAGACAATAAAGGAAAAAGAATGCGACAAATTGTATTTTATGCTTTTGGCGAAAAACAGAAACGAAAATTCTACTTCATTCTATATTTGTACATCAGAAATGAACGAAAAGAAACATATTATATTTTGACGAGACTGCTCGTCTAACCGGCATATTTTATTTGATTGAATAAAGATCCGACTAACGAGATATATTTCTTTTCCATTGATGCTTGAATCTTCACTGCAGTCAAAATTTGCAGTGATATCTATAGATCAATAGAAAAGGGAAAGAAAAAGAATTGTCAGCGCTTTCCCTAGAGATCGATTCTTATATAAGAATCTTACCAGAAACCTATAAGTCTCTTATCAGTATCTTATAAGATTTTTGTCAGTATAAAGACAAAATTTTTGAGAAACATTATTCTTGCTGCATAATTAGAGTTGAGTTATATACAAGAGAAAAGAAAGTACAACACTAAAACAGAATATATATGATAAATATTACTCATACTGCTTCTTCTTGGACGTGTAATTCGGGAATGAGAAGGACGATAAAGTTGACCTTTCCTCATTCTTTTTGAACTTTGATAGTCTTCCGTTTATATATTCTATCTTCAACGATACTTTTATAAATGCGACTGCTTTTCATTCAATCATCACAAATCATCTTTAAAACACAGAATAAAAGTACGGTCGATATCCCGGTCAGTCACAGTTCCAGCCGGCTTCATATTTTCGCGCGAGTTTGATCTTTCTTCTACGCTTATGGTCGCTCATCGAAAATACGACTATTATTTCGATGGTTTACATAAGGGACCTTGTCACGTAGTTTGCTCATATTACTATCATTTGGATTAGTTTTTTATACCACTTAGTAGAGCTTTGACTATCGATGAAAATTTTATGATGGGACAGTGTTAAGCTACGGAGATAGGTATACTGAAGTATTTGTGAAGGTATCATAGAACGAAAAAATTGGGATCATGCTTCGTCACTATCTCCAGATGGTCACCTATGAGAAATTTTTCTTTTCAATGTCAAAATCTTCGTTATGATTTGCATATGATGACCATGCTCCCAATTTGAAAACACAGAAAATAAGAAAATTTGTTTTGAGCGACCTATGCATTTTTAAGAGTTACTGGAAGTTATATGATATTCACCCGGTCGATCATATCTAATTTAACTATTTCTGGCGTAATGTTTTAAAAATTTCTATTGTGGTATATTTCCAAAGTCTCTTTTTGGTCTTTTTTTGTATCGAACGCCGAGTCTCTCATATTTAGTTCTGATAAGCGCTTAGAAATTCTCTTGTCAGTATAAAGCTAGCGTTAATTGACAAGTAATATTCTTTCCTAGTAAAATATCAGTTGTTTTATTTTCTGTCGCTTTATTATATTTTAGAAAGTATAAAAAGAAAGTATAAAAATTTCTCCATCATATATTTTTTCTATTTCTCTCTCTTTTCTGCCAGAAAATAATAATGTACAATGTGAAAGGAGTCTAACATTGCTTATTGCTACGACTAGGCATGCAACGGTAACGATTATCGGTTCTTACCGATTATCGATATACGGTCGCTTTATTATATTTTAGAAAGTATAAAAAGAACTTTTTGATTCGAGCATTGTTTTCAATAAGTTGTTTTTGCTTTATTGTATTGATCCTTTTCTTCCACCTTAATGAGCGTATTTGCAATAAAAGCAAAATAATCCAGCACGTGCGAAGCTGAATCTATCAATGTGAATGTCAGAGCCTATAGATTTTCGACCATGTTATTTGCGGCCAAGATGATGCGGCTCCATTACTCAATGGTACTGATCGTTCTGTCTACTCCAGTGGAACAAAATCAAAGCTGTGGGATAGGAGTCATTATGGAAGTCAAAACCAAAGAGAACTGATATTACTATTGAATTCAGTATGGTCGAAAACCTCTAGAATCTGACTGTTAGATTGCAGTTACTCTGTTTAGGAGCTTTTGTCTGATTTGAAAATGTGTTCATTGTAAAGAAGAAATTAAAACAGTTTGCCTTTCGATTTTTTTTGTCAAATATCCACTATACAAGAAAGACGAACCCATATAACTAAAATTAACTGTTGAACTGCAGAAATTAGATAATAATGTATTTCTTTTTAGACTAACAATAATGACTACATTGGAACAATTTCCAGATGAGCTTATTTTATATCTCTTTAAATATATGAGTTTTATTGACCTTGATCGTTGTTTCCAACATCTGAATTTGAGATTCACGCGCATCGTTTATGACACTTATCTTTACATCGACTTTTCGTCAATACCAAAAATTCAGTTTGAGAATTACTTTGTGAAATCAAACGTTTTGAACGACTATTGTCGTCAAGTGCGTCTTGCAAAATTGGGTGATTGGGGACTGAAATATTTTCACAGGTCAATTGACATTGAAAAATTCGTTCATCTTCGATCGATAAAATTGGAATGTTTTGACGAAGAAACGTTCGATGACTTTACTCAAATATTATTGAAACTTTCACATATGAAATGTTTATCATCTATACATATTGAATTTGCACCCGTTCTCGACTTACCAACTGAAACTTTGAATGTGCTTAAAAGTTTACTTTCATTGAGTAACTTAAAAACGTATATATTAAATAATTGTCGTTGTCCAATTATTCCTGAAAAGAACGAGAATAAAAGTAATATTGAAAAATTGCGTCTTTGTTTAAGGTCACTATCTGATTTTTCAGTACTAAGTCAGTGTGTACCAAAAATTAAATCACTATCAATGAATCTACGATATAATGATAACTTTCAATCTTCTCGTTATCCAGTCACTCTACATGAATTACCTTGGTTACAAACGTTAGAGATACGTTTAAAAGATACATCATTCGATGAATTCGAAGAGGTCTTAAAACAGTTATCAAACCTTAAAAAGCTATCGTTTACATCAACATCAATTGATTATATTAATGGTCAACGTTGGCAACATTTATTAAGTTGTTTACCAGTATTAAAAGTATTTCGGTTCAATGTTTATTTGCATGGTCTGAGTGAATCATTGATAAATCTTCAAGTAATGTGTTCATCATTTCAAAACAATTTTTGATTCAAACGTGAAATTTTTGTTGGATTTGACTATTATCCATGTGAGAACAATTCGGCTTTGATTGTTTATACGTGCCCATACAATAAAAATGAATATAGATTGGTAATCGGTAGTTTTAAATCAATATTAAGTTCGTAAGTATTTACTAGATTATTTTAATTGTATCTCCAATATTTCATATTTGGTTGACTGCGGTTAGGCGCTTACTTGCTGAGCTATTCCGTCATTTTTGACATATTGGTTTTACAGTCAGTGTTCTACGAAGGTTTGAAATGATCATCCATTGAAGCATCCACCAAGTACATTATTCAAGCTACAAAGATGTACTGTAAAATCATAAATGATACTTTCTTTTAGAACGTTAACTCTGTCACCTTATGAAATATTCAAAAATGTTACTCATCTATCGCTAGTTTTATCAGACAATATTTCAAATTTGAACCTAAGTAATTATGATCATCATATTTATTGTAATATTAAGTGTCTGAATTTTTATGCATCATCCAACCGCACTGCTGCATTATCCGACAATGATCAATTAAATCTTCTTTTATTTCTAAACAAAATAATTGTATACTCAAGGTTACGTTCACTAATTATCGAGAATCTA